CGCGACCCTTGGCGCCGGCAGTGTCTTCGTCAACAGGTCTGCTTTCATCAACTTTGACTCGACGAATTCAGGTTTGACGATACCCTTTTTAGCATAATCGCAGATGAATTTCATCCGCACATCCACGTGCTTCGCACTCGCCATGCTTCCTTCAGACTCTAACATCTTGATTGCTGCTTGATTGTCCATTAGCATGCTCATTGGCTCCGTCACAGGAAGTCCAATCTCCTTCAGCAATTCTCGCAATCCCAGCAGCTCTCGTCCAACGTGCGACGCCGAGGTAAACTCGGCCTCCATGGTAGACAAGGATACTCCGGTCTGCTTTTTGCAGATCCAATGCACGATGACTCCACTCACCGTAAGTACTCCACCGGTTATTGACTTGCGGTCGGACTTATCTGCCGCGAAGTCTGAGTCACTCCAACATGTCACCGTGATAACATCTTTCTCATCTTCGAGGCTCATCTTGAGTTTCATGTCTTTTGTTGTCTTCAGGTATCTCGCGACGCGTTTTGCCAGCTTCCAGTCGCTGACAGTGGGCTGGTGCGTACGTCTTGTGGCTCTGTGAACCGCGAAGCTAATGTCAGGCCTTGAACACCGGGCAATCCATAGAAGGCTACCCACTAAAGACTGAAAGTTTCGGACAGTAGGCTCGCCTTTCTTGCCCCGATTTGCCGACAGGTACACACCTTCTGACACATCGTCGTTGCTGTCGTCACCGATGGGCGCCCTCACGCCGTTTGCTGCATTCAGACCATGTTGATTTAGCATCTCATCGATCGCCGTAGTCTGATCGACAGTGTAAGTCTTCGAGTCCTTTAGAGCCATCCTCATGCCCAGGAACTTGTTAACTTGACCCAAATCCTTAATAGAGAGGACACTCATCGCTTTAAAGAATTCTTCCACCTTGTCCTGACTTGTCGCTGTCACCAACAAATCATCAACATATACCCCGACAATTGTCAGCTCGCCTCCGTCGTGTCTGATATACAGACATGCGTCAGACACGCATCGACTAAAACCAGCCTCGACCAGTTTCGTGTCCAGCAATTTGCTCCAAAGACGACCCGCCTGTTTAAGGCCGTAAAGCGGCTTTTTAAGCCTGAGCGCCAGTTTGTCGCTGCCTTGTGTTCCAAATTGCTTCAAAATCACATCAGGTACAGTCATGCCTTGAGGTATGACAAGAAAAATCTCCAAATGTTCCTCTTTGTTCGCCTTCACGTAGGCGTTAGGTATGTCACCATGTCTTGCTGGTACTCCCCAACGTAGGGCAAGTACCAGTATGACCTTCACCGTGCTCAATTCCATCACCGCAGCAAACGTCAACCCGTAGTCGACACCGTAGACCTGCTCGTTCCCGCATGCCACAAGCCTCGCTTTGAAACGATCGATCTCTCCCTCTGCGTTCAACTTGGTTTTGAACACCCATTTGGTGTGTAGGACATGGCTTCCCTTGGGCCGCACTTCCACCTTCCACACATCGTTGTCTTCCAAAGCTCGCAGCTCCTCATCCATTGCTGCCACCCACTTATCTTTTAAGCCGCTCTTCATGGCCTGACCGTAGGATTTTGGGTCGCTCTCACGAATGACATTCACCACATCCGAAACCTCCTCCTCTTTTTGTTCTGCATTGTCTTCGCGTGACTTTCTCGAAGTCGCCCTCGTCACATGCGCCTCTCGCGTCCAGCCACCAACTTTCGAGTGGTTTCTTCTCATCGCATCATGAACAGTCGCTTGCGTCTTCTCTTTCTGCGTCGAGCCATCGCACGCAACTTCATCAATCTCCTTCAGATGCACACGCCGTAGTTGATCGTTTTGTTCCTTCGTAAGGGTTTCAACGTTCTTAACATATTGAGTTACGACCACGACCTTGTCCCTTGGAATGTACACACGGTACCCTTTCACTTCATCGCTCTTGCCTATGATCACGCCTTGCTTGCCACGATCTCCTAGTGACTTGTTCTTCGCGTCCTGGTGCACAGTGCACGGTGACCCAAAAACCACAATATCACTTAAAACAGGTACCTTCTTGGTCAACATCTGTAGAGGTGATAGGCGACCAGCGTTGGCTTTACTTGGGCTTCGATTCAGTATGTAGGCCGCATACTCCGCCGCGTCCCCCCAGAAGCTCAGCGGCAGTCCGCACGCAAACACCATGCTACGCACCATATTCATAATGGTGTGATGCATCCTCTCGGCCTTCCCATTGCTGGCTTGGTTGCTTGGCTCACTAATTTGCCTCGCAATTCCTGTTTCCTTGCAAAAGAGGTCCAGAGTACGATATTCTCCTCCGCCGTCCGTTCGCAGCACGTGAATGCGACAATTAAATTGCCTCTCGAAAAATGCCATGAAGTGTTTAAACTTTTGGGCCGCCACGTCTTTGCTCTTCGCCAGGAAAACTCTGCAGTAGTTCGTGCGATGATCCACAAAATTAACCATGTAACGATTTCCCAATCTGTCGCGAGGAGTCATGGGACCCTTCAGGTCAGAGCAGATGACTCCTCCGATAACATCAATCGGCGCATTCGTGCCAGTGTCTTTTCTCGACTGCTGGTTCTTGGTCTGTTTACCTTGAGCGCAAGCTAGACAGTTCTCACGCGTTTCATCGGTCAGCTGTATCCCTGAGGCTGGATCCTTTGCCATGCGAAGGATCGTGTCATAATTCAGGTGAGCCAACCTTCTGTGAAAGTGCATAAGCGTGCCCCGTTGCACGTCTTGACTCACTTCGAATTCTCCTTGCGCTAAAGCCGTCATTAGTATGTCCGATGGTAGCTGAACACTTCCGCGATCGTGGTCCCGCACTATTAGCACGTTGTTCTTCTTCCCCACGTCAAAGACAACCACCCCACTGTCAATGTTGCCGACGACCCTGCGATCACCCATGTAGGCTATCCCAAACCCTTTAGCCTCCAATATACCGTAGGATATAATGTTCCTTTCGAGGTTCTCGGCATATTGCACGTCCAGGAGTCGCACTTTAGTGACCTTGCCCATTACAGTGGTCGTGATTGTGACGCTTCCTCGCTTCGTTATGCGCAAGGGCCCTCCGTCAGCTGCGATACACTCGCTTTGGCAGTCCTCTGGGTTCTCGAGCATGCTCACATCGTTTACCAGGTGACGACTCGAGCCACTGTCCAGTATCCAATAGCCGTGGTTAGCGCTCGGGTTGCCCACTGCGAGCACAAAGTCCACGTCGACGCTTGTTTCTCTTGAGACCTTGTTCCCCGGGTACGCAGCTTTTATGTGTCCAGATTTCCCACAGCTGTAGCACTTGCGATTGTCCTTACGCCCGTTTCGTGTCTTTTCGCGCACATGTCGAACGTTGTTGACGACGTCCTTTCCAATGTGCTTTCCGCGCAGCTCGATCTCCGTCGACTGCGCGAAGTGAGCCAGCTCCTCCGCTTGGCGCAAGTAATCAAATCTTGTTAGATTCAAACGCGCCAGCATTGAAACTCTCATTGCCGGATCAGCGTAGTGGACTATGTTGTCTTGGACCAAGTTGTCTGCTCCACCGCATGCCTCGCTTACTGCGACCAAATACAAATAGTGTTCTGTCCAGCTGCGCTTGGGGCTCTTGGCAGCAGTAAATAGCTTCATACTTTGCGCTGGCGTTATCTTAGTTGCGAATGTATGAAGCAGCCTTTGCATGGCGTGTTCCAATGTTGGCTTTTCTTGCCACCACCCTTCAACTTGGCGATTATAGTACCGCTCAGCCATTCCCGTGAGATTGTGTCCAAGGACGTCTATCTTGACATCCTCACTCCACGGAAATCCGCTCGCACGCTCAGCAAAAGAGACTTCCCGTACAAACTTCTTCCCCCAGGATAGAAAACCGCTCCCTAGCCCCTGATAAAGCTCTTTTCCATCGAAATGACGGATGTTCAGCTTGCGCTGTCTAGCGTCCGGCACTCTCGCATACGACGGGACGTGCTGCGGTATCTGCGCCTGCTGGCACACTGTAGGTGGCACAAAGTGTTGTGGTAACCCCGGCTGCGGCGCCTGTGCCCTCTCGACGTTCTCAGCCGCCCTTGCATACCCCGGTTGGTTCATCCCGAAGTACGTCCCCGGCGACATATGTGGAGAAGGAGCCCTCGGCGGTGTCACGTTGAGAGCACGCCGATTCATCGGTTGCCCCAGGCCTATTGCTGACCCGAACACACTGGACTCCTTGTCCATCGGCTGGTCCTTGGTCCCTTGTGACGCCTCTAGCTTAGCCATCCGCTCCGCTAGTCCCGTCAGTAGGTCCAACATCCTTTGCTCCGTGTTCCCTGGCACCGCCTCTGCCTTGACTTCTAAATTTTCGCCTTGTAGGCTGCTGGCCCTTTCGCGACCAGTCAGTGCCCTAGGTTGCGCGCCAGTTGCACCAGCGGCATCAGTATCACCGTTTGGGCTCATAACCTGTTAGGATAGGAAGATGCCAATGCAAAATGTAGAAGTGTTATTGTCGTTACCAAGTTTCTACCATGCTTCCATCTCTTCGACACCAACCATTTTCGCCCTGATTTTACTACACCATCCCAGGATAGAAACTGCCATTCAACTGAAGTGGTCGGCCGACTGCCACGTTTTTGCAGCGTCTACTGCTTCTTCAATACACACATCATCACGTAGTCGCACAGGGGCTTAACCGAATACAGAGCTGCACACACTGGTGCAATGTAAAAAAAACTGTTGGCAGACGCACTGGTGGCTGACCCTATCATTATCCCCGGTTCAGTACTAAAAGCCGTGCACGAGATCGAGCTCACGCTGCAAGAATTGCATCTAATAGTGGAAACACCATCCCACTCTGTCTGCCTCGCTCCTCGACAGAAAATAGGCTCCCCCTCACTCGTGTTTCTATTTCTGCATCTTTCCAGAATTGATTCCACCCTACTCAGACCGAACCTGATCAGCAAAAGTCGCAGCTTAGCTCGCACATCATCGCGTCACATTGAACACTCCGCTCTGCTCAGATCTGATCGACTCAGATCTGATCGGATCGAATCTGCTCAGTGCCCATGCCGTCGCCCTCGCAGGCACCTATTGCAGGCATGGGCCTACCCCTATCCGCTCCATCAGCTTCACACGTCCCGCCTCCTGTGCCCTCCACTGCACTGTTGGCGTCGTACCTGTTGAAACAAAGCGCAGGCAAGTGGAAGCGCAAGCGCTGGAACCAGCGGTGGTTCGTCTTGGACCAGGACAAGGGCGTGCTCCGCTACTTCCGCTATGCGTCGCCTCTCGCGTCTCTAGACTTGCGACAGGACGCCCACGGCGTGTTACAGCTCAAGCAGAAAGGCGTCTCGCTTGTCGTGCAGGGGCGGTTACCCGCTGGTGTCCCTTTAACGCCCTTTTGCTTTTCAATTTTGTATGGAGACGAAGGACAGCAAGAAGTGAGGCTTTGCGCGGACTCGGACGTGGACTTCCGGAAGTGGACGATGGCAGTTGCAGCGCTCATCACTCCGTTGTCGAGCAACGGGCTGTTGAAAGCTCGAGACACTGGGGGAGAGCGACCGACTGGAGCGTCGGTTCCGTCATCCTTGTCAGTGGCAGTTGATGCTACTGTTTCGTCGCCATTAGTGCGAGCAGGCGATGGACTCGATGCAAAGACGACGACAAGGAATGCTGAGGTTGTCGAGAGAGTGAGGGGGATCGAGGTAGAGCCGAGACAGGTAATCGAGCAGGTACGATGACAGCCTGTGACGAGTTGGCCTTGTCGTGTCGTGTCTGTCAAGGTTCATGTCGTTGCGCTGACATTAAAGTTGTGGTCGTATTGCTATCTGGATGGAGATGTACGCGATCCTTTGTGGCAACAAAACTGTGCTACTCGCGTTGAACCCTGCTATTGGTAACGAAGAGAAGCGAAGATGCTGTGATGAGTGTAACCCTGACACTTTGTGCTCGTCTCTGTGTGTGTGTGGGCACAGTAATTGCGCGATGTGTCAACATGTCAACGTGGTGCTTCGTTGCTCTCGTAGCGAACGCGGTGGTTATATGGCTACTGTGGTTTCGAAAAATGGAGTCTCATTACAAATACTTGTCCTCACGACCACCTTCACGAACGAACGATGCTATTCCGCCACCCACATCATGTGCACAAGCTAAGAGCGATTTTGACGATCTAAAAGACGAATCAAGCACCAAGCTGGAGGCCGATCGTACAGAAGCACAAGCCTCAAGTAGCTGCTTGTCGTCGAAGCGTGCACTGTTTTTGGGTAAAATTGATGGCATAAAAGTGTCAGCGGGATTCTCGTTGAAGATGGGTACAGCTGCATCAACGGAAACTGGAACTGGATGCTGGACGCACGTTGATGCGACTCGTTTCGATGTTCGTCAAGGTCTGGTACTGTGTGCAAAGTAGCGTTTTTCACCAGGACCCAATTGCAGATTCCCGCGACTCATTTTCTCTTTTCAGGTCCGAACTACCGGAAGACTAAGCTCAAATCTGCGTCAGCATCTGCTTTATTGGAACTCGTCGCTGTTGACATCTACCAGGTAATTCTTAAAATAGCGCACAAAGACCCTACTGTTGTTTGCTTGCATCTAATGCATGACCTTTCTTGTAGTCCGATGTCAAGGTCGACAACGTCGGAAGCGTCGTCAATCTCAGCGTACTGAAACCCGTTACGTAAGGAGCAAGAAGTTTGTGATGGCTTTATCTGTATGTACTTGTAACAGTTTTGGATGTTGCGTTGCAGAGGAGACCTGGATCTATTCATTGTAAATTGCCAAGTTCCTTCTTACCAACCTTCAAATCCGCTGTGGGGTGAGAAACAAAGCGATGGTGCAGGTTTCAACTTTGTGACGTACTTTGCGATCCCCCCAGCTATCCGAGAGATGCTCGACAGAAGAGAGGAACCGTCGCTCCCGGCTGTTCGTGTACGTCTATCTAACAAATTCGTTTACTGTTGGCACGTGTAAAGCTTACCGTTCATACGTGTTCTTGTGCATGCTCGGGTTTTGTAGCTACTCAAAGACTTCATGCAGCCAGACAGCTGGGCGGTAAGTCGGTTGTAGCATCGAGTGGACATGCAGGGTATCATTGCACGTCAACTGACAAAAGGATGTTATCATGCTTAGAGCGAACGGTTCAAGGCAATCGGCGTTGTGGCAAACCCTCAGGAACAGCAGTTAGGACGAGCCGAACGTCACTTGCTTGAAACTTACAACGGTCAGCCGATTCTCACTCGTCCTCAGCATGAGTTTCACCGCGGCGACGGATACTTTGAGGTCGACGTGAATGCACACGACTTTAACTATATCGCGCGCAAGGGACTCGTAGGTATATCTAGTCATGCTTGCAGCATGGTTCTGGACTTTGGCTTTGTCTTGGAAGGACAGGAAGACCACGAGTTACCGGAACAAATTCTGGGTTGTGTGCGGCTCTGCAAGGTTGACATATGTAGCGCCCCGAGTCTGTCGTAGAAGGTCTGTAGACGCAATGGTCTACGATGGTGAAGTGGCACGAATGACAACCGTGCGTATGTTGTCAAAGCTCGTCTTTTCCAGATCTGTGAACTACCAAAGCAGAAATCACTTTTTATCGCACCAACGTCATAGCCACTTCCTGATATCCCATACTGAGTAGTCACCCTTCTCGTCGTTTGTGATACACTGCCAAAACATCTGTCAATCTAACAAACGCACTCCTGCTCGCTGTCGCCGCTATTGTTTATCGTGTTATGATCTCTATAAAGCTTCGTCATAGTGCATTCATTTTGATAGCAATTAAATCTAATCGCCTGTCAGCACTGCGAGTCGCTTACGAACCTGTAGTAATTGGTATGAGAACCAATTATTGCAGGCTCCGATTATCGCTACGATAGCAATGTTACATTTCTGGTGATCCCTACACACAGGGGGCGCTACATTTCGCATTAATTAACAAGTAAAGGATCGGCTTTGATGCTGATCCACAGTCACCGCGTTTGCAAAGTCTAGGACCGTCGGTGCGGTAGACAAGCGTGAAAAGTATAGCGCAACAAGACGGGAGGTTACCTGTGTGTGGACAGTCTGCGATGTTCAGACGCGCCACGTCAAGAATAGCCAGACCGGAGACGACAAATTATCAAGTATCGTGAATCAGGGGGATTCAATCAACAAACACAAAGTTTGGAAAGATGCAGCATAACAATCGCTTTTTTTCAGAAAGCAGGATACGACATCACGCGGTCGATACACTATATCCATTTGCCACAAACAACAACATCAGTAGCAACAACAGCAGCAAAAAGCGGCCACCTCCTCGCTCAAAACACCGACGTCCACTTCATCCCACTCTCTCACCTCTTCAGCTCCCAAAACCCACAAATAAACCCTCAGCACCTCCAATGACCGACAGACATGTTATCAGCCCGTGCATAGAACATCCACCAGCATCCACCCTTTCCATTGCATTCCACCCCGATTCGCTCCAGAAAAACCCACCACCACCACCTTCTCCACCCACCCACCCACTCCACCTCCATGGCGACGGACCTGAGCGCGAGTTCCATCGGGGGAGTGCGCGCCGCAACGGACTCGGCCGTAGGCGCCTCGGGCGGGCCCGAGAACGCCTACGAGAAGCTGTCGCGGGAGGTGCATCAGATGCAGCTCACGGGCGCGATCCACACGGACTGGCTGGAGAACCCCAAGGGGTTCTTGCTCAAGCCAGACTTCAAGCGCAAGGCTCAGCACGTGGGGGCCGGGGGCAAGAAGCTCAACAGCTCGCGGCTCTTGCGGCTGCACCTGCCGGGGAACACGTACCGAGTGCGGTGGTTCGTGCTGGACGGCATGATCTTGCGCTACTTCAAGACGAGCACCGAAGAGCAGGAGCTGGGCGCGATCCACTTGACGTCTGTCAACGCCGTGCTGCCTTCGAGTGTCGCAGACGCACCGGAACACGCGCTCGATCTGGTGGGAAAAGGGTCTTTTTTGGGTCTTTTTGTGGGTTTTTTGTGGGTGGATGGGTTAACTTATATCGTTTGGTTGGTTTGTTTGTGGTGTCGTATGGGTGATTTGTAGGTGTGTGCGGACCGGATTTACACGGTAGCCGGCAATGATCGAGAGGATATGGTGCGCTGGGCGACGGTCTTGACGTTGGTGGTACGGTGCTGAGCTCTGTCGTGCCAACGCGGAGGTGGTCGCTTTGACTGACGTGTTGTGGCGACTACTGACTATTAGCTGCGCGGTGAATACAAGCCGAAGCTGATGCTGCGACCCGAGTCGTCGATCATTCGAGGGAGCTCAGTGATTCCGAGACCGAGTGCAGCCGCGAGGAAGACGGCATTGACGCCGGGGTCGAGGTTTACGGATGCAAATGGAATGCGGATGACAGGAACTCTCATTGGTAGTATGGGAGACGGCGACTCGAAGAATAATGGCGACGACGATGCCAAGGAAAAGATCATCACGGTTACGTTTGATCAGCCAGGTCCATTGAACTTGATTCTTCGCGGCACGGTAGATGACGAAGTGATGGTGTGTGGGTTTCAAGATGGTACGGGACCCGGTGGGGAGCTGAGACCTGCAGAAGCATCTGGCGTTATTCGAGTGGGTGATGTGCTCATTTCGATCAACAGTCATTACTTTACGAATATCGAGTTCCAGCAAGCTGTTGATCTGATTCGTGCCGCTGGGCGACCACTTACGCTGCGATTTTCTCGAATCGACTATAGCATGGCACCAATTGTGGATACCGCTCGCGTTGCAGAAGGACGAGTGCTTGCCAAGGAGCCATCAGCACTTCGTTTTCGCATTCGGATGCTGCAACTACATGGAGATAAGCTGAAGCTGTATAAGCCCAGTATGCAGGGTGGAAGAGTTGATGAACCATGTTTGGTGATCAGGATGGAACAGGTGACAGATGTCCGACCTACTAACGATACGCGTGAAGTCGTCACAGCATTTACTCAGTGCCATCCCAAGCAATGGGGCATTACGCTGGAAGGGTCACAGAGCATCTTCACGTTTTACACGAAATGTCAGGAGGATATGGGGCAGTGGGTCGATTTACTCAAGAACTCGCCGCTGTTTTCACCAAAGGCGACGAGGCTGTCCATCCCTGTTCATCCTGTGGCAGTTGTGGAATTTAACCCCGTCCTTGAGCCTAAGGTCGTGCTGCAAGATGATGTCGGTAAACTGGGCGACTTGCTGCCAACGTTCTCGTGCTATTATTTTCTTCTGCTTGAAGATGGCAAGCTGATGTACTACATCAACGCCAGCTCAGCCGCTACGCGCACGCGTCCAATCGGCATTCTACGCTGTGACAATATCGTCAGCATTGTGCCTAGTCAGATCACTGACGACACGACAACTGACAATGGTTGCAGCAGCGTCACTTCTTCTATCGATGGAATCACCGAACAAATGATGCCATGGCGTCTTGAGCTAGGAGTTCTTGTCCAAGACTCAGCGACGAAGTACCGCCGGCCATTCGTAATTTGCTTTACTACACAGGAAAAAATGATGAAGTGGGGAATTGCTGTCGGCAAAGAGGCGAAGCGCCTCACGGGGCAAGAGTACGATCTATCGTCGATCAGTCGACGTTCTTCGCGCAGCAACAGCCGAACGTACACGCCGCGTCATTCCGACACGCCTATGACGCGACCAACGATATCGCGCCTGATATCGAACCCATGCAAGTACATTGATCCGAACGTACTTCAACCATTTTGCCTCTATCGCAGTCTGAAGGACGTGACGATGAAAGCAGCCAAGCGTGGATGGTTTTTCGTGAAGCGACCACAGAGTGTGGGCACGGGTGCATACCATCCTCGGTTTCTCGTTCTAATCGATAACGACTTGATGTTTTTCAAGTACGAGGTACTCGCGGAGGAGAGCTTGCATTCGTATGCCAGCATGATCGATCTCCGAAAAGTCAAGGATGTGAGGGAAGCTGAGTCTGGTTTTCAAGAGCACCTTGACTTCACTATTCAGCTTACCACTGCTGACGACATTGTCTGGATGGTAAGACTTCTCGTTTTTCCACCTCGATTGTAACTTGTGTTCTGACGGGTTTATGTCTGCTGATCAACGTCTTTCAGCTGGTCGCGGAAAGCTATGCACAGAAAGAAGCATGGCTATCGGCGTTGATCTGGCTGTCCGACTACTACTATCGATCGGCTGACAGTGACGTTGACATCGACGTCACGCCCCCAATAAACGATGCTAAGCGAATTGCGTTGAATAATGCCGGGTTAATGATGTCCATTCCTGAGTCAGAAAGATCAAGTAGCACGACGAACCAGTACATGGACCGGAAGGATCATTTTGGCGCGGTAGGCATTGCACAAGAACGGTTATTGGCAACCGATCCGGGCACGGTGCTGGCAAATGATTTCACGGGAATCAGCGGCGAGATCCAGATAGCGGGCAAGAGAGTGTTTGCTGCCATCTCTAGTGGTGTTTTCCGTTACTACGGCTCTCAAAGTGATTACGAGAGCGAGTGGGGTGATGCTATTGACGCCGTTTCGCTGAAAGAGATTGAGGAAGTGCATTCGGACGGATTGAACTTGGGCAGCTTTGTGGTAAAGGTAAAAGGTGAAAAGGACATACAGTTGGTTGCCGAAAGCGCAAAGTTGGCCAAGTGTTGGATGCTGGTGATGTGTTGTTGTGGCGGTTTGGTCCTAAAGAAGACGCCACACGCCGATTATTGGGCCAGTGTCCAGCCGAAAGAGGCTTGGATATGGAAACTCGATCGGCTGTACCAAGTCTTTCGTCGTCGATACTTTTCTTTACGGAACCACCAGCTTATCTTTCACACCGAAGAGGGTGGGCGTATGCTAGGCATGATCTCGTTGCCTTGCATATTCCACCTCCAAATGTCGAAGGTGTGGACACGCAGCAAAGATGAAGCCGATTTCTACCAGTTGGAAGTCAGTTTTGCGGTTCCCACAGCTGCTGAAGAGAGCTCGCGGACCGACCAAATTGGTGACTTCTATGCCTTCCTGTTGGCCTTTGACACGGAAGAGCAATTGAAAGAATGGGCGAATGCTATCTACGATTGCTGTACGAACTCAATGTCACTGAAGGGCAATGCGGCATTGTCGCCGCTTGGCGAGATCCAAGTGCTTCCGAAAGAACTGCTCAAGATCTCTACATTCGACCACAGTGATGACGAGTTCTTTAAAACTGCCGGATTGCCACTTAGCCCGACAGCGCCGTCAAAAAGACCATTTCCGGATGTGGCTGCGTTCGCTAGTGAGTTCAGTTCCAGCGGATGGCTCTATTATCGCACTTCGAAAGAAGAGCGTATACGTCTGCGTTACTTCATGCAGTGGGGCTACGAGCTGTCGATTTATAAGCACGAGGTGCTTGCAGATGAAGCAACCGCTATCCGCTACGGCGTCATTGACTGCCGCGCGCTTGTGGATGTGCGCTTTGCATACATCAACTCGCCCGAAAATGCCGTCGAGCTCATTCTTGGATCAGAGACCAGTGTGATTATCATCCCTCGCACGGATCAAGAAGCTGTCATGTGGCGCAGCTCGCTGCTCGATGTAAAGCGCGCCTACGGGCAGTTGGAGTCTGGCAAAAACAAGGAGGATACGTTTGGCACGGGTGTGTTTATTAGCCGTGGCAGCACCTTCTCGACCCACAAGGACAACGAAGAGTTGTTGCGTCTGCAAATCGAATCGGCCGTCATTTACTCGTCAAACCTTCAGGATTGGGACGGTCGCAAGTGGATGCCAAAGTATTTCGTGCTGACGAGCTCGCGCGTACTCGTCATGTCCCTCGCGCTGCATTTGTTTGACGAAGAGCCTGACATCCTAGGTTCGTTTGCTTCCAAGGATATCCTCGAGGTCCGTGCGTGCAACGAAATGGAAGAAGTGGAGGTTGGCAATTGCAAGTCCGCTTGTGTCATTACGCTACGGCCACAAACGGGCGGCACAGCCGATGCGATACAGACGGTTCCTGACCGCATGATCGTCAAATGCGATTCCATCGGTAAGCATTTTACGACGGGAAAGTCGGTCCTGATACGATGCTGACCCGGTGGCTGATTTGTCTGCTCTAGATCACTGCTTGGAGTGGATGCGCTTGTTGTGCGGCAGCAACGGCAAGCTGGAGCTCAAGAAAAATGCTGCCACGGGCTACTGGGGCAGCGTGAACCGCATCGCATCGCTTTCTCGACACCAGAGCTTCCTTGCTACTGCGCCTTTGTCCGCCGCCATCGCCGCCGCCAATGCGGGTTCCGGTGCTTCAACGAGGAGAAAGACGCGCCAGGATGCTGCACGGAAGTACGTAGCGTTTACCTTGCCATGTCAGCAGAACCATGACTTACGTTGTTTCTTCCTGCTTACAGACGCACGTCGGAACTCATCATGAATCGCAAGAGCATGATGGCACACCCGTGAGCTCACGAATGCAGCTGAGTGTTGTGCCTGTCCCGTCAAGTTGACATCGCGAAGTGAAGCATTGCATATTCATTTACACGCGTCTTCTGACCCTCTACAGTCTTCGCCAATGCATTCCTCTAGCTTGGTTGACCCATTTGACATTCGTGGCGATGACGGTGACATTGTCCTTGTCGCTCTTGTCATGCACGACTCCCGTGTCATTCGCCCTTAAAAATCAGCGCTCTCTGCAGATGGATCAGCACGCTCGTCGACACCGCCGTTTGACAAGAAAAAGCTAGGCACGTGAGACGGCGATGCCAACGATCCAAGAGATGCTGAAGCTGAAACCTCCCTTCTCAATGGAGACCTCCTCTCGCCACCGCCTTGTGTTATCGATGAACGACAAGCCGTCGGGTAGTGATGGCTAGCGTTAACGACAATGGGTTTGTAATCGAGACCGGCATCGCTGCTTCCCCACGACGTCCAGCTGTTGCTCCGGCAGGATGCGTGTTCGACCTCTTTCACATCAATCGCCGTGAATTGAAGCAGCGTAGATAGTACCGGTATGAGTCGTGCCTGCTCGGAAGAACCTGGTCGGAAGGACATGTACTGCACGACCACATTCTTTAAGTACTCCATGTTGACACCGTCACGCCGCTGATTCTGCAGCATTGCTGTAAGCTCCTCAGCATGACGTCGCTTGCCCTCACGCAATTCTTGTAGCTCACGATGAGCTTCCTCGAGCTGCTCAGACAGCGCCTGCATCTGCGCTGCTTGCTCCCTTGCCTCAGCTTCTCGCTTTGCTTGCAGCTGAGCAAACTCGAGAATTTTACGATTGTCCGCACCACCCGACCGAACATCCTCTTCTAACTCATGGAGACGTGCACTAAGACGTGTAATCTCCTTTTCCTTCTCCAAGACTGCCTGCAAGGCCAACTTTGACTTGTGTTTGCTCTCAGCTTCGAGGCGCTGCAGCTCACGGTCAAAAGTGTTCCTTTCATTCTTTATGGCAGCTTGCAGTGTTTCTCTAGCCTCTTCCCGCTCAGCCCGAAAACTCTCTTCTCGTTCGACCATATCACGCTGAACACGATCAAGATCATCTTTGGCCTTGGTCTCACTTTGTTCCATCCGCTGCACATACCCCTTTGCGACTTGCACCTGAACCTCCATTTCACGTTGTGAAGCCTTGCTACTTGCTGCATCGCGTAGTGCACCCTCAATGAGGACCACTTGCTCTGCTAGCTTGCTAGCCATGTCCATGTTTTCAGTCTGCAACCTCGTCGCCAGAGCCATGCGGTCCGACAGAGATCTTTTTGTCTCAGCCAATTCCGCACACAGGTTGCCTACTTCGACTGTCTTGTCACGCGCAACCGCTTCCAACTCCTCTTCATGCTTACGCCTAACCTCCACATCAAGCTCGAGTGCGTTGCACCGAGTCTGAAGCTTGCAATTTTCCCGCGACAGCTCTTTCTTTGCCTTCGTTATTGCACGGCGCTCAGAATTTACACGTTCCAGCTCAGCCTCCTTCTCTTGGCGCAACATTTCGAAGCTTTCATGATGCTTTGCGCGCATCTCATCAAGACGCTTCTTCAACTCTGCCGCCTTTTTCTCGCTTTGGACGTGTCTACGTTTGTCAGCCTCAGCCTTTGTGGCATGCGTCTCAAGGTTCTCAGCAGCCGTCGACAGATCTTTGCGCATACTACTCACCTGCTTTCGCAGCTCCACCAGTTCCGACGTCATGGATACATGAGAAGCTGCCATCTTTGTGACTTCCTTCTCCTTTTCAAGTAGCTGAGCATGAAGCGTCTCATTCTTGATATCTGCCGCATCACTTGCCGTTATCAGATTTTCGAGCTTAGAAGTCCAGTATACACGCTCCTCCTCCAGCTGTGTTTCCATCGTCGCTTTAGCCTCCAGTGCATCTTGCTGCTGCTTCTCAATCTCCTGTTTTGCTTCAGTCAGCGCAACAATCTTCGCGTCCGAAGCGGCTTGCTTTTGTTCAAATTGTGCCACCTGGTCGGCAAGACGACTCGTGTCTTGTTTTAGGGCATCCAAGAGCGACTGAGTAGCTTCACTCTCGCTGTCTATCTTGGCTAAGCGCTCTTCTGCAACTTGCAGGTTTCCCTGTAACACTCCTTTCTCGTGCGCGCGCTCTGCCACCTCTAGTTTCAGTCGCTCCAGCTCCTGCATCAAGCCCGTATCGGCTACATTACCTGAGCACTCTGCCTCCTCCTGCAACGTTTGAACGCGATTCTTCAGCGCCACAAGCTCTTGCTCCAGAACTTTACTATTGCTATCTTTTGCCTCCAGCAGACCTCGCAAAGAATCGATTTCGGCACGCAGCGAATCGGTAACGTCTTCGGCACCTACTCTTTGCACTTCAGCAGCCAATGCCATCGTCGTCTGATGCAGTGCTTCAATTTGCTCCTGCAAACGCGTGTTCTCGGCTTTTGTCGCCTCTAGCTCTACTGCTTGCGCTTCCATCGCCGCCGACACCTTCTCCTCCACTTCAGCCTCCGTCACGCCGGCGGAAGAAGGGGCATCGAGCAGCTGATTGACTTGCTCCTGAAGACGCGTGTTTTCTACCTTTGTCACCTCTAGTTTAATCCGTTGCGTCTCCAATGCAATCGAAACCTTCTCATTCACTTCAGCCTCCAAGACTTCCGTAGAATAAGGTGCTTGCTGTAGTAGCTGAATTTGCTCTCGCAGCCGTTCATTGACCACCTCTGCCGCTTTCAACTCATCCTGTTGAGCCTCCAGTGCTGCGTGCATCTTGTCATTTTCATCACTTTCGTCGCTTTCCAGTTTTGCAGCGAATGCAAACGCCGCCGCTTCTGCTTGTTGTAGCCTCTCCGCCATTTCTACCTTTTCCTGCTCGACCTTGGCAAGCAAATCAGCTGCTCGTTGCAGCTCCGCATCTCGTTGTTTCTGCTCCGCTTCTACCTGTTCAAGCATTTCCTTCCTCCATCTCTCTCGCTCCCTCTCTACCAGCTGCACCGCTTCTTCCTCTCGTCTTTCATCCCGCATCTGCTTCTGTGCTAGTTTCTGCGTCAACTCCTGCACAAGAATGCTCTGCTCGTGCCACTGCTGCTCCAGGCTCTGCTTCTCCTGCTCCAGCTCCCTCCTCACAGCATCTTGCGCTGCTTCCCGCTCTGCCGCCTGCCTCTTCAGTTCCTCCATCTCCTCGTCCTTTGTCTCCCCAACTAGTTTCCCAGCTGTAGCCACCACCGGCGACAAGTCCAGCAAATCCACACTCGTCACAGTCTCCTGCTGGTCCTTCGCCACCTCTTTTCGTCCCACCAACGTCCGGTACTTTTCCTGCAGCACAACCGCATCAATCGTGCCCTCCATTGCACTGCTGCTACTTTCACTAGCGTTACTTTTATCGACTCCAGCTTTGACACACGTTGCCACGTCCAGCCCCACGTCGTGCTCGAGAAACTGCCGCAGCGTCTCCACGTCCGCGTCGCTCCGGGCCGCCGCTGCCGCTTGTCGCTGCGTCTTCTGATACTGCGCGTTCAGGAGCTTGTTCTGCCTCGTGAGCTTCATACTGAGCGCCACCAGCTCCTCGTACGTCAAGCGGTTCCGAGCCGTCGACGGCGCGCTCTCTGCCGCCGCCGCAGCGGCTGCAGCTGCTGCTGCGGCGCTCGTGTCCGTCGTCTCGCTGCCGTCCAGAGACGCGGACGGCGCGTTCGCCGAAGCGGCGGCAGTACGCAGAAAGTGCAGCCCCTTGGTGAGGCCCCCGCGTCCGAGCTCGCGCATCTGCTCGAGCTTCTTCTCCTTCTTCTTCGTGAGCATTTGGGAGCGATGCGGTGAAGTAACGAGATGGGGTGGGATGCGACTACTTTATTCGATTTGGTGGGGTGGTGTGGTGTGGTGTGGTGGGAGGGATGTCGGTGCAGGTGGGGAAAGACAGGATGCTGTTTTGGAGGTGTGGAGCGGGTAAAGTGTTTTGGGCCGGTTTACGACGACGCTGTTACGGATACACAGGTTAAGGTCGTGGACGACGATAGCGCAGGGATGGGGTTTGTACGCAGTGTATTTGTCCGACGACGATTTGTACGAACGCGATGTGCGCGTCAGCATTCACGCACGCACCCACCTGCTTCACAGATACTTCTTTTGAAACGAATTCGACCTTTTGGCTTGTATTTGGAGACTGTTAAATAGACGCAAGCAAGCTACTTCCTATCGATGTTCGTGGATCGCAGCATGCTCTCAAAGAGGATCAATTGAGACTACACGCAAAAAGGATGATTGCGACGCCTATCAGCTAACTCGCAGTTGTGCGTGTGAGCTTCCACTCACCTTCATGCTTGATGTTGCTTTGCCACTCACTGGTCGTGCGTGTCACTTGCACGTTCGACATCCAACGATGAGATGGTGAATCGGCTGCTGGATGCCAACAAGAAGCCGATTCATTTAGATACGTACGTGTAGTAGACGGAGAAGTTTCGCCTCCGTGCGTTCTAGCATACAACTCATTGTGTACAGGAAAGTCACGGCAACCATCTCAGTTGAACAAAAGCGCCTACAGAGACGCGATAATGTCGCCTTCCTTCCTACCGTGACACGCCTTCGGATGAGGTGCCACATTCGAAACCAGGGCAAAAGTTGCAAACGCTCGGTAAGGAATACGCCTATTCCTATGTTCTTGTGCTGCTTGATGCACCGGGCCTCTCATGAATTTATGAGGCTGCCGATTGGGAAGCGAGCGATTCTATGATCAATTGTTCTTCTCAAATGCTTGCAAAGTTTAGGCATGCTACCTCAACTACTGCAAACAAGTCGCTGCCGCGCTTTTGTTGCTGGACGGTGACTCGTGCCAATGACGCACGTGTAAAGGAATCTGCGCGAAGGTCGTACAACATGAGCTGTTGTCGGGTTACAGAGTCGAGCATTGCTGACAAAAAAACACGTTCCAACCTTGTGAAAGTGGGTAAAAGAGAAGGAAGTCGTGAGTGCGCTTGGGATGCCACAACTGCGTATTGTGCCGCCTGAATGGATTCGACAGGTGGTTCCACCCAAGACCAGCCACATCAATACGATAGCATGGCAATGATCGTTCACACCTGGACAACGTCCTTGTTCTATTTGTATCGGTGCGGCCAATTTCTGAGTAACTTGACTAACAATGTTGCTCGGATGTACTACCCTTTTGATGTCCTGGTATCAGGAGAAGTATACGACAATCGCATCGGCATTGGTGCAATAAATCGCGTGACTGCGCCCAAACAGCTCGATGGCCATCTTCGTCGGATTGAGCCGCTCAAGATTTGACATGTTCAGGGTGGTTAAAAGTGCTTACGATCCGATCTTTTGGAATTGCAGCCACGTCCGACATTTTGATCGATTCGAGCATTTTGGATCGGAGCATGGACGACGTTTCTGGCTAACGTAGAGGTAACTCAAGTAGTTGTGGGACTCGAGAGCTGCTGTATCACTCGGAAAAGCGTTCACAGAGTTACAGTCCAAGCATGCTGCTACCTTGACATGCAGCCACATCTGAGTCTCCGTCGAAGATGTTTGCACACACAACGAACAACCCGCAGATCACCCCTTCGTGCCGAAACACAGCTCTCACAGACACCGTCGATGATCATAAGCTTTGGTTCTAGCACGGAACTATTGGATCGCAGCAGCCCATCGTTGCTAAACCAGACTAAAGCAAGACAACACCCTGATCACAAGTCTTGCAGATATAGGATCTCACAAGTCTTACGACACCACGACATACCCCGTCTGAGATTAATCTTCTTGCCGGAAAATGCTGAGCTGAGAGCGTTCGTACCTTCAGAGGCGGACTATTGGAAGGACGTGTCTACCTGACCAATTTCAATAGAAAAGGCCGCTTTGGCAGTTCAAAGATGCGTACTAAATGCTCGGGAACTGTCAGCGCTTGGGCACAACAACGGAAGAAATAAAATCGGTCAACATCCGTGTTGAGTCGTGATACTTGTCGCTGTTGCCTCTGTACTGTCCACCATGAGCAGTGCTCAGGATGGGAATCACGTTGCCACAAGAGAATGGCGGGCAAGACGATTAGCCTCGCTCTCGACATCCGTAGTGTGCGTTTTTCTCACGTTTGTAATAGCTCGAATCACAACTGGTTTTCCGGAAAGACCTGTACTACCATCCGCCAGGTCGAGTAAGAGCCATGACGGGACTGAAGGAAGGAGTCGAAACCCGAAGCGCAAATTGAGTTCCTGGGCTTTCCCCCGACATGGAAGCAGACTGCACTCCATCGTCGCTTTGGCCGAGACCCTCCACGAACCAGTCAACAGTAGTCCATACGCGTAGAGATGCCATCGATACAAAAATTGCACCCGTTGCAGCGATCGCGTAAGAGCTCACCGGCGTCGGGAAGACAGCAAGTACACCGCATTCGATCAAGCGACGACACAAGTACACTCCGTTTTACATCCTGTTGTGGCGTATCTGCATTGTCCCCTACCCTTCGAGCCTGCACTACAAAGGTCTGCAGCAACCGATTGCCGTGTCGGCATTTTGCTTTGCCTGTTTCGCCCCTCTCTTCTCCGTCTACTCGTCCAGGGCCCCACGTTTTCTGTCGCTTCCGCCTGTATCTCGCTCGCTCCCTTCGCTTTGAGAGACGCTGTCTCAGCGCTCCGCCTCTTTTCGAGGTCGAGCTTATAGCGACTGCATCGGTCGATGGATTGGATTGTTTTCGAGCCATCATCACCATCATCATCGATCCAGTTCATGTGTGGGAACGAGACTGTCTTTCCTACTAGATCCGTTCATGAGCTGCGTCGCATCGTTTGTCGTCGAGCCTGAGAGTGTCACGGAGCGTCCGTCTGACGATTGCAGAGCACCTTGATCGTCGTCAGTCATTGCACGATTTGCTCTTAAAGCGACAAACACCGTTTCGCTCGTGCGTCTCTTACGTCGACATCGAGCGAAGAAGGTCGTGACAGGGAAAGAAAGAGGAACGATGATCTCGCCAACGGTCATGAGCGAATTGCATCAAGCCAAGCTCGTGCCCACGCAGTTCACGGTGCCCAAACCGGGGGAGCACGCCTGGTCCTCGACCGAGCGCCGTCGATTCTGGGAAGCTATTCAGCGCTTCCCGCACGGTCCCTGGACAGACATTGCTGCCTACGTGGGCTCCAAGTCGACGCGTCAAGCCATGACGCACGCTCAGAAACTCCGTCTGAAACTTCGTCGCTGGAAACGCCGCGTGCGGAGCGACTCGATGACTTCAACCGGATCCACCAACACGACTGCATCGACGTCTCCTTCAGAGGAAGGAAGGGACGAGGTCCAGTCGCCAATACTCATGCCCCTGACAATTTCTCGTGACAGTGCTACACTTGAAAAGGCAAAGCACGTGGAAGAGGAGGAGACAGATGAGGACGAGGACGTTGTCGCGTGCTACCGAATGGACATCGAACCAGAAGTCAAAGATGAGGCCACGACGCAGTGTGGAGATCGTCGCAACCAGGTGCAGGATGCACCTGACGACTGGTACTTGGAACAGTTGCTCTCGGATATCGAGCCAGTGCTGGAGCACGTCGCACACTTTACAAATGCACCGCACGGCCGTGGCGACTACAGCAACGAGCAAGCAATGAACATCGTGCACTACGCACACGTAGCGGCTTTGGAGCACAAGATCGTGGAACTCTCGACTTGGACTCAACAGCGTCAGGACGCAAACGAAGCTCAATACAGCTGGGCATCTGTATTAGAATCAATGTAGCTGTGCACACCAACTGGAGCTGGCCATCAGCACAGCGACTGCTACCTTTTATAATGTAAGTTTATCATCATCCTTCACTGGCTGCAGTTCTGCGAAGAAGGCGAAGTTTTAGCTGTAAACGAAGTCGCTTTCGGATCGTGAAGTCCTATGGGTTGGTAGTTAGTAGTAATCAAGTAAGCGAATACCTCAACTCGACTCACTGAATTGGAATAAGCTTGCAGAGCTGAGCGAACAGATAAGGTTTGCAGACTGACGTCGAGCAATATGGTCACTTGGCAAAAGCGATACTGTCACAGTGCGCCTGCTTTTTCAAAATCAAACGATTGCCAAGTCGGACGTACTGAAAGCGGTGTGCCACGTCCAATCGGTCTTTCTGTCGAATAGAGCTCACAGTTTACTTCTCAAAGTGTCCGTCGAACCCGACAAATCCTGCCATGAGGAACACGTAAAAGAAGGACTTCTTCTCTATCCGAGAGCACCAATTCCAGGCGCTAGTCAAGCGACCATCAATGCAGGAGCCAGCATCAAAAAAGTTGTCCGCACCACTACCATCAAACCCGTGCTTGAAAAAGTCACACAATATACGTTTTCGGAGCGTCTCCGCGCCGCCAAAGCTGTCCTCAATGTACGCGCGCGTGTTCGACTGCACTGCTAGCACTGGAATTTCATGCACCGTGTTCACGATCGGGCTCAGGATGCGAGAAATCTGCGTGTACTTGTCGATGAACATGAGTGCATTGGGCACATTGTGGTCGCCGAGATGTACCATCGAGGAGCCCACCCAACGAGGGCGCATCTTTTGCGTATGGTTCAAGATTGAGTGCACCAAACGAGATGTCTCGGGTGCATGCTGCATGCGGTTGAGACCCTGACCGGTGTCACGAAGCCGATACATGCCTCCGCCCAGCAAATCTTCTTCGACGGCCCACCATAGACGCAGCATTGAAGTCGTGATATTCTTCCAGAGCAGCAGCGACTGCAATACGTACTCGTACTGGCTCGCGTGGCTGTGACTGAGTCGCGCGCCATTTCTGCCGGCTTTGATCTCGAGGCTGAAACCTGGCTCGGGCTTCTCTGGCTTGAAATATTTCTCCAAGTATTCGATCATTCGCGTGATCGGCGCTCGGTTGGATGCCAGGTAGCTCTGGCCATCCGCAATGGATGCGAGACATAGACGGATCTCCTCTTCCGATAATGACGCCGATGAATAATCACGCACTAGCCCATCGATAGCCTGCTGCTTGTCACGCAAAAAACATTGCAAGCTTTGCGCATCAGCAGGGCTTGTAGCTGCAGCAACAGACGTCGCTACAGCACACCTCGTATCCCGCAGCATATCAAGAGCACGGCGTTCTTCCAGCAACGTTGCTACCGTCTTGATTGGTGATACACACGAGAAGCCAAGATACTTTTGGATTTCACGAACATTGGCATCCTGCAGCAAGTAGATCATCTTGCCATAATTGTTGCGCATGCGTTCGGGGTTCATCACTTTATATCGACGTCCGATCTCAAACACCCGACCGAAAAAGTCCTCATTGTCCTTAAACTGCTTTTGCTGCACAAGTCGACGGCCTTCACGGAAGTTGTTGGCAATCAAGAGCCCCGAGAGAACACCGAATGTCTCATTCAATTCGCGCAGCATGCGCTTCACCGTCGAGTACGACGACAACACGTCGACTGCGTCCGTGTACTCGCTCACGTTCAGCGCTGCGTCCAGCAGATTAAATAGCGCCCGTTCGTCCTCACTGAGTCGCAACGGAATGAACGCCGCCTCCTTCATCAGTGCAGATGGGACCGCTTCGATCTCGCGCATCATCAATTCATCATCATCATCCGAATCTTCTGCCTCGAGCGCTTCTTTTTGATCCGCAGTCACGTCTTTTGTAACCGCCACAGGAGGTGGTAGCGGTGGTACAATAGCTGGTATATCCTCTGGCGGTGACACATGCTCGATGAGAGGTTTAGTAGATAATTCGTGATGAGACATAGGACTGACGCCGATATCACTGCTGCTGCTGGAGCTGGAGCTTCCTGGTACCTCTGTCGGTCGGTGGTGCAAGCGCGAGCCGGCTTGATGCTGCGCCTTGAAGCACAATGGGCAGTACAAGTCGTCGCAGTCCTCGCAGCGGACGGCAGCCAGTGTGTCCTCGCACTCGACGCACATCGCCATCGTTTACCAGAACTGCTACGACGTATCAAGTCCTGCGATTGGTCAATTATTTGTAACCTCTCGTTAGCGATACGATCGAGCACAGACATGTAGCCACTTCACGCCGCTCCGAGTGTCCAATCTGCGAAGATCCTACTTTACGTACGAGACATAATCTTAGGCAAAGAACACGCCCCGCCAAACTGCGTCCACGCCGACTCTCGACTCTCGACCGACCTCGACTCCCCCCCTCCTTCCTCTCGCCCCAACATGGGTACGTCCGACGTTCTTCGTGTCCCGTCCCGCTCGTCTTCCGCCTTGTATCATGCCTCATCACCTCACTGACTCATTGCGTCTCTCTCTCTCTCTCGCTCTTCCTTTGTCTCTGTCTGATTGGACGTCTGCTGTCCTTCGAATGGGTTCATAGAAGACGAAGTGTACCCCCTCACGCTTCTGACCGAAGAGCTCAAGAGCGACGAAGTGGAGACGCGAATCAAAGCCATGCGACGTCTGCGCACTGTAGCACAAGCGCTGGGGCCCGAGCGCACCCGCTCGGATCTGTTGCCGTTTCTTCGTGGTAAGTTAGTGTGCCGTACAAATGACTCTCTTTTTCCACGAGACATAGTGTAACAACGACCGTAAACATGTCGACCTTACTGTAGCAGAAGCTACCGAAGACGAAGATGAAGTGGTTGTGGCGCTCGCAGAAGAACTTGGCGGCTTTGTGGACCTTGTCGGTGGCGCGGAACATGCCTCGATGCTGGTAGAGCCCCTGGAAGTCTTGGCTGGAGTTGAGGAGACGGTGGTGCGTGACCGCGCCGTTGACTCGTTGCAGAAGGTGGTGGCTGTAGTGCCCAACGTGGATGACGTGATGGTACCGCTGGCCAAGCGTCTGGCTGAAGGTGACTGGTTCACATCGCGCGTTTCCGTGTGTGCGCTCTTTGCATCGATTTACAGCAAGTTGGCCGACGCTGGACGCAAGAAGGAGTTGCGCGAGTACGTAGTCGACGTGTTTGTGTGTGTTTCGGCGGTCGACAACTTTGCAGACTAAGTGGTGGTATGTGATTGTGCAGTTTTTATCAGATGATGGGCAACGACGACACGCCGATGGTCCGTCGTGCTGCTGCTGCCAACATTGGTAAGTTTGCCGCGGCGATGGAGAAAGAGCACATTGCAGGCATCATTCTGCCGCTGTTCCGAGCACTTACGGCGGATGACCAGGACAGTGTGCGTCTGTTGGCTATCGAGAACTCGACGGCGATTGCCGAGCTGCTGTCGGAGAATGACAATTTGATGCACATACTTCCTATTGTGCGCTCATCCGTGGAAGACCGCTCGTGGCGCGTACGGTTTAGCATCGCGAAGGACTTTTTCCCGCTTTCACGTGCTATGGGATCGCAAATCACAGAGTCTGAGCTGCTTGGTTGTTTTAGCAATCTCCTTCAGGTTCGAATGCAATACGAATCATGGAGATAGAACGAGCTGTGTTGTTCATCATGTGTGCTGCTGGTGTTGTCGTTCTTGTCGTCATTTTGTAGGACGCGGAAGCCGAAGTACGCGCTGCCGCTGCGAAGAATCTGTCGGGCTACATCTCGATTGTCAAGAACGAGCTGTTCATGAGTGAGATTCTTCCACTGCTGTCAGCACTGTCGCAGGACACAGCGCCCAATGTTCGCAGTACGTGCTATTGCCATTCCGTCCTGGTTGTCACATGAAGCAAGTACTAACTCTGTCTTGCTGTCGACGCGTTCTCGAATCGCAGCGGCTGTTTCTGTCGCATGCATGGAGCTTGCACCCAAGCTGGGCGAAGCCACGTCCAAGTCGACACTAGCCCCTCTGCTGCTTCTCTTCTTGCGCGATGAGATTGTGGATGTGCGTTTGAACATTCTGAAGCGGATGGAACTTCTTGCCCAATGGATGTCTTCGTTTGAGTCGGTACTTTTGCCGGCCATTGCCGACTTGGCACGCGACCTGCAGTGGCGTGTGCGCGAAGCAGTAGTTCTATCGATTCCCGCTCTTGCCGGCAGTCTGGGTGCTCAGTACTTCCAGGAGCACTTGCTGGAGACCTATGTTAGCGCTTTCACAGACATGGTGGGTGAGGTTCGTTTGAGTGCTACTAAGATTCTACCACAGCTACTGGAGTCTCTGGGCAGCGACAGCATCCTTCAGAACGTAATGCCGCGCCTGAACCAGATCTTCGAGAAGTCTGTTATCTACCAAGAGCGAGTCAATGTGCTGCACGCGCTGAAGCAGATGGCCGTGGAGAAGGTGTCGAGCGACTTGCTGAGTCTCATGACGACACTAGCTATCCGTGGCGCCCACGACAAGATCCCTAATGTTAGATTCGTGGCTTCCATGAGCTTAGAGCAGCTGTGCAAATTCGCTGATGCATCTGTGGTCGCGGCTCAAGTCCGGTACGTTCAACAGCAGTGTTTAGCTCATTTCGTCTTTGACGTTTGTCCGGGATTGACTGTATCGTGTACTAACCCACATTTGTAGACCCTGTCTGACGGAGTTAGTGAATGATCCCGACATGGACGTCAAGTATTACTCGAGTGTCGCACTCGATGCAGCCCAGGGCTAGGCAGCGCCGATACATGCTCGTCCATGCGACTCGCGGAGACGTCGTTTCGATCCTCCTTCAATTCATTTCTGGCTTTATCTTTGCGTTGAGCCCTTTTAGAGAGAAAGACGCGGTGATACCCGATTCGTGCTTATCTGTTTCCTGTCCCACAGTTGACAAGCTGCAACGGACATTGACGGCAAGCAGCGACAGTGTCGGTGGTAGCTCATTGACTGCTCACCCTTCGACGGGCAAATATCACGGAAAACCATAGCAACGTCTTTCAACAAATGAGACTACCTTGGTCTAGAAACAATGCCTTTGTCGTGGTCGTAGCGGATATCCTCACGTGGCCTTCGCTCTATCTACAGCAGTCGAGGCAGGACAATCGTCTCAATAAAGTACTGATGCCAGCGCGTGTCGGTCGTGATCTCCGGGTGGAAGGCTGTGACGAGGATATTGTCCTTCCGCGCGGCAACAATCACGTCTTTCGGGTCCGACCCGTCTGCTGGCGTAGCAGTAGCTACACGAGAGAGCACCTCGATCTCCTCGCCAACCGAGATGATAGCGGGTGCACGGATAAACACAGCGTTGTACGGTTGGTCGTTCAAGCCCGGTGGACCGTCAACCAGCATCTCAAAACTGTGGACTTGTGCACCGAAAAAGTTCCGCGACACTTGGACGTCGAGACCGCCGATCAACGTCTGGCCACCCTCTTCTGTGTGCTTGGCGTGCTGGCTGAGCATAATCATACCAGCGCACGTGCCCCAAATGGGACGACCATCATGCACCCATTTCTTCAGAGGCTCTACAAGGCCCCAGCGCACAGCCACTTTGCCAATCGTCGTGCTCTCGCCACCAGGCAGAACGAGTGCATCCACGTTCTTGAGCTGCTCAGGTAGACGAATGGCAACAGCCGTCACCGCAATACGGTGGCCAAGCGTTTCGTTCAGACACTCGAGCATTGCCATGTGCTCTTCAAACGCGCCTTGGAGCGCCAGCACCCCCACGGTCAGCGTCGTCTTCGTGGTCTCCGTCATGCGTCCCGGGGCTCTTCGTTTCTGTCTCACCACAAATGTGCGGTGGTTCACGCTTTGTACGGACAGATGACGCTTTGTACGGACAGATGACGCTTTGTACTGACAGACGACGCGAATGTAGTAGTAGTAGTTGTAGTAGTAGTAGAAGTAGTAGATAATATCTAATCCTTCCTGTCCAACTCGATATTGTGTCATGCTTTCTATTAATTCCGCGAGGTACCGCAACTGACGCAACATAAACATGGCGTCTGAAACGCATCTGCGCACGCAGTATGAGGTTCGTCATCGGGATCGACTTTTCCTGACCGTGTTGTGCGCTCAGTGTAAGCTCACAAATTGCCTGTCCATTTCCCAAGTCGCTCGTCAAGGAGAACAAACTGCTCCGGACTAACGTTGAGAAGCTGGATCGCGAGAACCATGACCTGAAGCGCTCGGTCTGCGAGCTCACTCTCAAGTATGATAAACCTCTCTATTCGCATCGGATATGTTTTTATACAACCCAATCAGTCCGTTCAACCATTTGATTGACAGCCTCGTTGACTGACCATCACTCCTGCTCTATTCCTAGACTCGACTCGGCACACGCACCGTCCTCAGCTACCCGCGCTGCCGCTGCGGAGCCCTTTGCACTGGCAGATCTCCTTGCAGCTCCCGTCTCGTCAGCCACAGCTGAATCGTCGTCGTTCCGCCGGACGCACGGCGGCTCTGGAGCGCCGCTATTGGGGGCGAAGGGAGAGCTGTACGACCCGGACGCAGACGGAGATGCTCGTGTCTTGGTGCACAAGTCGACGCTAAGAGCTCACGCGGGAGCGGTGTACACGGCCAAGTTCTCGCCTTGTGGGCGGCTCTTGGCGTCCGGCGGGTTCGACTGCAAAGTGATGCTCTGGGACGTCACGACCAAGTTCAATCAGCCGCAGCTGGCAGCGCTCTCGAGCCACACGCAGCTCGTGATCGACGTGAGCTGGGCTGAGGATAGCACCACGCTACTTTCGGCTAGTTACGACCACTCGGTGAAGCTCTGGGACGTGGAGAAGAATCAGCTGCTGACGAGCAAAGAGGTGAAGGGACTCGTGCAGTGCGTGGCCTTCAATATGGCTGGTACAGACACGATGAAGACGATTGAGCACGAGTTTGTGTTTGTTTTGGTCGAGGTGGACAACAATGGAACTAATATTACGTGTGTGTCGTGGGTGCTTTGCTGTGCTGTGGAAAACAAGACAATAATCAGTTCTTCTTGGGGTCCAGCAAGTGCTGTCTGCACATGGTAGACACACGCTCTGAGGTCTGTCGCACGTGGTCGAATGACGCTATGGTGAACGCTCTGCACGTCTCTCACGACGGTCTAACCGTTACAACGGGCGACAGCAAGGTTCGGTGATGTCATCGAGGTTTATTTGTGAAGCAGCTGCAGCTGGCTACACACATATGCGGGAATGGGCTTGATTGCGACTTTTGTTGATGTTGTTTTTGTATGATCTGCAGGGTATGTTGAAGTTCTGGGATGTTCGAATGGACACGTGTCTTGAAGAATTATCGGTACTGAATGACCCAGCCAAACACGCCATTTCGCACATTCATGCATCGCCGTCCAGTGACGGAGGGGATGATGGTCGATTCCTTGGCGTCAACAGCTATGACAATGTTTTGCGTGTGTACGATCGATGCTCGAAGCTTATTAGCTCTCGCGGTTTGAAACGCGGTGCTGGTGGAGGCAACGATGCTCGTGATGATCAGTTACAGCTAGTGCACTCAGTGACGGGCCACAAGAATAAAAACTGGCCTATCAAGAGCTCATTCTTCCGTGGGGATGGCTACAAGTACAAGCTAGCACTGCCGCCGCGAGGGAGACTCGACGGTAGCTTGGGCAGCACTCCGGGCATTAGTTTACGGCACAAACTCGCGGGTAGCGACGCAGAGGATTTTGCCGATTCGAGCGGAGAGCGTGGGTCTATGGGTTCGTCGCAAGAAATGCTGCTGCTTGCCACGGGCAGTGCTGATCATCATATATACCTGCATGACGTGACGCCGTCAACGCACGCTGTAGCTGCAAGTGGCTCGGGTAACCACACGCAAACTCTAGTGCAGAAGATCGATGGCCACAACGACCGCGTGTACTGCGTGGATTTTCACCCCACGGAGCCTATTCTGGCTTCTGCGTCAGCAGATTGCTCGATAAAAATCTGGCTTCCGCGCTCTGGATCAAGCTCCGTCTCGCGTGTTGCAAAGACCAAGACTTAAGCAAGGATGCGCCAGTCGTCTATACGCCAGTTTACAACCATAAGGTCAGCGGCGGGGATCGACTAGGAATCGAGCGACGAAACGAAAGTGTAAAATATGGTTTACGACCAGGCGTGCCACGACATGACGGGGCTTCTTGTTGGACTGAGCGTCCGTCTCTTGTTGGACTGCTCTACGGGTGAGTTGTATGAAGTCTGGTCTCGCTGAGAGTGTGCATTGCTCGCCACGTGATTTCTCACGTAACTGAAGTCATTTTCTGTCTTGCCAGATTGGAATGCTGAGTCGGCTGCATACACAATTTTCAGCAAGCGCTTCGAGAAGCGTCAGCTTTCGTGCAAACGTGCCTTGTCGTGTGTTACGAGCGTGCATAATGCGTGCGGCATCAAGTTCGCCAAGTGTTCCTCAACCAAGTATCTCACTTTGTTCGGTGAGTGCGGTGGTTGTTGCATTCAAGTGGGATAGCATTTGAACCCGTAAGCCTCACCGAGCAATAAACAGTGTTGCTTAGTGTCAGGCTCGTAAGTATACATGGGAGTGTGCGATGACTTTGAGCAACCAACACACCTTCTTTATACTTGAAACTCGTATGCTTGCGTGTGATGTGTGTTTCTGACTGGCTGCCAAAAGCAGTTTTTTGCATGTGAGGTATGCCACCAGCGCAAAAAACGGGACCGTTAACACAACAGACGGCTGTATGATAGTTTGATGCATAACACGCTCATAACACTCGTACTCGGCCGGTGAGTTATGAGCAAAAAAGTGGGTGGCCGTAAATCAATAACCTAAACTCTTTACTGGACTGTCAGCTCGGCCTCCGTCCTGCAGAGCTCTACACACAACGATTTCCAGCCTTTCAAAACCTGCTCTCTTCCCTCAGAAACGCCAACGATGCTGATTAGCAATGCAGCTCCACGTTGTCGAGCTCCTGGCCTTCTCTGCGATTCCGATATGTTTCGTGAGGTCCTCGGGCATATCAGGCTCCAACATAACGCAAGGCAACGTCTCAGCCGGCGCTGCCCCCTCTGTGGACTATCACAGTGGGGACCCTTTCCAGCAGTTACTAGAGCCAGACGGGACACCTTATTCTGAGTAGAGAATACCAAAGGTGACGATGTGAGTCTCACATGAAGTCAATAGTCTTGTCAGACGCGCGTTGGAATACCTCAAGCCATCGTGTAACGGGGCACCCTAAAGCTTGTACTGGTGACAGTACAAGCTACTTATTCTGATGACAGAATAAGGCGGTGCCTCGTAACTTCACGTACACTCGTACGTGCAGAGGAAGACGGTAAGAAGAAGCGAGTACTTGGTTAAAGTAAAAAGTAGAACTGTATTTATCATAGTTAATGTCTGTTAATACATCACTATTTATCCTCATCTAACTATGTCTAAATACAAATGTGTAAATCAACTATCTGCTCACCACTCATTGCGTGCGTCTGTCGTGGCGCGTCTTCGTTGGTTGATACAATGGCCTATATCAACCAATTAGGAACAACTCGTAAGTGCTGCAGAATATTTGTCCTTATGACAATATTCTGAGAATATAACTCTTATAGTTATATTCTATTAACAATTTCTTATAAATTGTTAGGTAACGATTCACCCCGTTACATCACCCCCCCTTAACCATCAGTCACTTTAGTGACTGATTGACTAAATGGATACTCGTCCCAAATCATTTGGGACAGGGTTTGCACTTGTTGGTCCGAGTCCACTTTCCAACATTTCATCGCATGGTTAACAAGCCCATGCGGTGCGCGAGCAAGGCCGCCGAGAGCGCGTCCGCACGTCTCTGTGCGGACGCCGAAGCAGAAACCGCAGCAACTGATGTCTCATCGGTTGCTGAAGCGACTCAGCCTGTGTCGCTTGGCGATGCAGGCGCTGGTCATGAAGACACTCATGTCTTCACAGAGTATGAGCTCGGTGTCTTATACTCTCCTGATACGGAAGACGGATCCGTATCGACGGCGATTGAATCCAAGCCGCCTGCCAAGCGTGGCATGGATGATGCTATGCGTCGCAGCATCTTTGGTTCATCTGATGAATCATATGAACCATCGCCGAAGCGAAGGCGCTCGAGGTCGCGAGACTCGGGCGCTCACAGTGGTTTCGGTTCTCCTATGGACACCACTTCGCAACGAGGTGCCAGTCCTTCTGTCGGCACATCGCAGGATGAGCGGGATCGCAATGTCTTGCGTCTCGCTCCTGAGAAGAAGGCTTGGATGCCTCCCAAATCTGTCATACTTCACTTGTCGGCGACGACGAGTGATCGTTATCGAACACGATTGTTCGATTCGTCAAGGATCCATCACCTTGACCCCAGCGCGAAAAACTATCGCGCTGAGAATGAATTCTTCATCGATGCTTTCTTTAGACGTCGATGGTACAGTGGGAATCACAAACGTGATGGTACCTCACTGCTTCAGGCGTGGAACGCCTACATCCATAACCTTGAGGATGTAGGTCGTGACGTTTGGAACGACAAACTTATTAAAGCTCGTGATAAGTTTGAAAAGCGAACCCCGACAGGTGCACGCTACAAGCTGCATCGTCTGTCAAGGGAGAAAGGATTACCCTGCCTCTCTTGGGGAGACTCGTGCCCATGTTGTGTGAACAACTCTGCACGAGCACCTAAGGAGGCTTACCTCCTTACTAGCCCGTGGTGGCGCGTACGTATCTCTACTGAGATGTACGAAGGGATTGACAACCTGAAATCCCTTTACGACCGTGCCGGGAAGACTTTCTCCGGCGGTCCTTCTGCGGCACAGGATGTGCCGCGTCGTACTGCTCAACCAAACCCAGTACGTCAACTATCAGTTGGGAGCGGGGCTCCCAAGTATCCCAGGACGGGGGATAGCCGCGCCACCGGACGAGATAACTCGTCCGACGTCCGTTCACGTCGCGGTGGTTCAACAGCTGCTCAACTAGATAGCTCTGGCCGCCGCGAGAGTCCTCTAATGGAGGTGGAGGAAAGACGCTCTCCACACGATCATGGGGATCCGTGTGTTCCCGAGAGCTTCTTTGATCGCGTAACGCAAGGGTTACGCAACGATCTCGAACATGAGCGGTACAGGCATCTCCAAATGGCGGACACTGTCTCGAAGAATCGAGCTGAGTTTGCCTTTGCTCAGCTTGAGAACGAGAGATCTCTGACATCTCTTCGTGACGAGCTAAGGATAGCTCGTGGGATTGTTGATAGGTCTCGGGATGAGATAACTGCTCTTCAGATCCTTGTCGATGCCCACCATCGGGAGCACAAGGCTCTCTGCGAGATTCTTGAACGCAAGGGCGTTCTTCATCGGAAGAAGCAGCGTGCTGATGGTACGGATTAAGCCGACCGACGTAAAACGTGGGATGCGTTCGCATCTTACTTGGCAACTCGATCGTGAATGCATTGCCTAGGCGGTGCAATACACGAAATGGGCCGATGTACTTGGGTAGTAGTTTACTGCTACCCAAGTTAGTCACTACATGCTTTGGTAGATTAACCGTAGACAGTAGGACTAAGTCACCTTTATTGAATAAAAGAGTGTTTGCCCTTTCATTCTTGTCAGCGTTTTGCTTTTGCTTATCCACCGCTTCGGCGATGGAGTCTTGCACAAAACGGACTACCGTTTCACGAGCCAGTATGAACTCATCTGATGACTCGTTAGCTTCAGTGTGCTGTGAGCGCACTGCAGCAACAACAACCTTTTCTTCAGTGAGGGCTTCCGCATTCTCACTGGCATCATCTTCTTCGATATCGATGTTATCGATATCGGCATCAAACGTAATGACCTCTTCGTCAGAGCGTGATGAGCGTGAACCAAATCGGTTTTTGCTCGCGCGAGTCCCTCCCCCCCTTAAACCAGAGTTACACTCTATTAAGGTGGGTACACGCGGATGGCGTAAGCCATTCACGTAAAACGGTGTATGTGTCGTGGACGCATGCACCGAGTTGCTAATGGCAAACTCTACCATTGGCAAAAACTCACTCCAACCCTTAAAGGAGTGTACGTATCCTCGAAGTATCTCTTCAAGGACACGATTGGCACGTTCCGTCCAACCATCTGACTCGGGATGATCAGATGTAGACATCTTCAAGCGCGTTCCGAGTGATTTGAACACGGAACGCCAGAGATCAGCAGTGAATCGTGGATCTCTGTCTGATACGAGTTCACGGGGCAACCCATGAAGTTGGAAGATGGTGTCAATAAAGATACAAGCACAGCCACTAGCCGTGATCGATTCTGATACAGCCACTAGGTGTACCATTTTGCTGAATCTGTCAACAAATACGAGAATACCCGTATTCCCGCGTGCGTCTTTGGGTAACCCGAAGACAAAATCCATTGAGATGGATTCCCAGCACTCAGCCGGAACCGGTAGAGGCTGTAAAGGTGCACGCAGTGAAGGACTTGACTTCACTCGTTGGCAGACTTCGCATGCGCGAACATACTTTCGCACAAACTGATACTGGCGGGGCCAGTAAAAGTCTCGACTCACCGTGAGATATGTTTTATCCCGGCCACGATGTCCTCCTATAGGAGCATCGTGATACTCGAACATGATCCGCAAACGCAGAACAGTATCTTCTGGAATGACAACACGTGGTGTGTCACCAGAAACGGCTGTATAATACAGTAACCCGTTGCGAGTGGTGTATCGATCTGATGCAGATCGATACGCAGGCGACAATCGTTTCAACGATTCTCGAGATAGTTGGGAGAGATGTGTCAAAAACTTCACAATCTCACCATCTTGGGCGTATGCCCGCCTCACATCATCATACAACGTTGTATATGGGAGTGAGGACGTCATAACCGCAACAGTGACTGTCTCACGGTTGGGTTTCGCGACTGTTTCAAAGTCGGGACGACGTGAGAGTGCATAAGCGACGACATTAAGTCGTCCTGGTTTGTACTCGACCGTAAAGTTGTATTCCGCAAAGAATGACAACCACCGCGCCATTCGTTGTGAAAGTTGCGGGCTGTTCACTGCCGTGCGTAATGACGCATGGTCAGTGCAAACAATGAAGGGTCTATCTCCTAAGAGATAGACTCTGAACTTCGCGAGTGCATACTTCATGGCAAGGAGTTCCTTGTCATGCACTGGATAGTTCCGCTCAGCTGGTTGCAGCTGACGCGACTGATAGCAGACGACGCGTTCAACGCCTTCAAGATCGTACTGCATTAATGCACAGCCGATTTCGAAATCGCTGGCATCATAGACCACATGAAATGGCCTGTCCTGATCGGCTATAGCTAGGACTGGGGATTGTATCAAGATCTGCTTGATACCATCAAAGGAGCGCTGACATTCAGCGTTCCATAACCATCTCTCGTTCTTTTTCAACAAACGAGAGAGGTGTACAGTCATCTCGGCGTAATTGCGTGAATACTTATGCAAATACGCCGCTAGCCCAAGGAATTTTTGAAGACCTTTGTCATCAACCGGCACAGGCCAGTCGGTGATCGCCTTGATCTTTTCGGGATCAGGACGTACACCGTTCTTACCAACGATGCACCCAAGAAGTGGTATTTCGCTTGCTGCAAATATACACTTCTTGAGGTTTGCATACAATTGATGCTTTCGCATGATTGTAAGAACTTGTCGGACGTGGTACCTGTGAACCTCAACGTCCGACTTTCCATCCATAGCTCGACTATGGATGAATACGTCATCGAAATAACTCG